GACTCTGTCGAAGGCTTTGCTAAAGTCGAGATATACCACATCATAATTGTGCCCCTCATCCACCGATTCGAAAACTGATGAAAAGAATGTTAATAGATTAGTTAGACATGAACGTCCGCTTGTGAAGCCATGCTGGGAATCATTGATCAATAGGTGCTTCTCCAGGTGATTTCGAATAGAGTTTGAAGTGATTGCTTCCAGTAATTTGCCTACTATTGATGTTAGACTGATTGGGCGGTAGTTAGAGGATAGTGATCTATCCCCCTTCTTGAAAATCGGTATTACATTCACTATCCTCCAGGATTCTGGTACTACACCTGTTTTTAAGGACATGTTAAACAACTTTGCTAAGGGCATACTACGCTCTTCCTTACATTCCTTTAATACTCTGGCAAATATCTCATCGGGACCAGATGACTTATTAGGCTTTAGTTTGTTTATTTGCTTATTCACTACAACTCTAGAATTACATGATTACTACAACACTAGTAATACATGGTCACTACAACACTCGTACTGTATGGTCACTACAACACTACAGTACAAACCTTTACTACAGCACCAATACAGTAATACATGCTCACTACAACACGAGTACTACATATTCACTACAACACTACAGTACAAACCATTACTACACCACCAGTACAGTACTACATGTTCACTAAAACACTAGTACTGTATGGTCACTACAACTGTCATGGTCACGTTGACTGCTGATCTATTTAACTACTGATTCTTATTAAACTCCACGCCCGCAAAACATGAGTGAGTTAGCGACCCCTGAGAAGACGTGTTTTTTCCCCATAGACGCTACATTCGTGATCCCTCCCAGTAAGTCCCGCCTTCGAACAGAGTTATCAATGCGTTGTTATTCCACTTTCTCCTGGGAAGCTCAATCTTGAATTAGTCTGTATTAATCAACTCGAGTAATTCGCCAGAACTTTGTCAACTGAGGGTCGTCTTTGAATGAGTAACAGTTAGTTTGTTTGTAATTATTGTCATTGCGTGAGTAGAGATCACTGGCAACTCAGGGATATATATAGACAAACGAGCCAGGCAGAGCGTTCTCTGACGCTGCTCCCATATTTCTCCAGGTATGTTTTTGTAAAGCCATTCAGTTAATTCAGTCAATTGTAGTGAATATCAGTGTTCACCAGTGTTCATGATTTAACAGTTGAATTGTTATTCACCCAGTGTAGAAGTAATATAACGTAAATACGTCTGTCGTCTAGACAAGAGAGTTTGTTTGTGTTGTCATGTTTCCCCACGCCCCTGATGCTGCTTCCCCTTTGTCTCCAGATCCCATTGTGATTCTTGCAACCATTCAACAACGGCCTCTGATGTAGTAAATAACCAGCCGGGATCATATACGAAATGATGGCACAGATGGGGCCTGATTAATGTGCCCCACGGCTTCGTTGAGCCAGACCCCAGACTCGCCATGTGTCTGGCTACCCCACAATAACAACAGGCGCGAGCCCCAGTGCTCTACCCTGGGTTACTCCTTAAAAGTATATGTCCACAGAGAGTGTTGTAACATGTATGTTTGGGATAATTAGTTGGAAATAATTATCCCATGTTGGGTAGTGGACCCCTGTATATGCTAGTATCATTATTAACGTATATGTTGTGTAAAGTAATCTACAATGAGTGCCATGTAATGTAACACCAGTAATGTTGTGAGTAAGAGTAAAGAAGAAGGGACTGAGTTTCCACTAAGCCCAGGAGTTGAGCCTGGTAGTTATATGTTTAATACAATATCTTTCCCCATTGATTGCATATTAATAAACTTGTTTTTAGAGTACTTTAGGTGTATTCCTTTCTCCCACAGTATTTTACCTTTATTTCCATCCAAGTGACTTGATACCAGAATTACCATACTCACGCGCCTTGACCCTCAACCATGCTACCAAAAGAATGTCCATGCTACCAAAAGAATAGGTGACGGAACTGAGTAAGAGTAAGACTAAGAGAAGTAAGTAAGATGAGGGTGGTGTAGACGCAAGAGGGAACCCGCGTCCTCACATTGGAGGCAGGCCTAGACCCGCCCCCTCACATTGGTGGCAGCTTGCTTGTTGTTACCCGCCCCCTCACACAACACTACAGTACAAACCTTTACTACAGCACCAATACAGTAATACATGCTCACCACAACACGAGTACTACATATTCACTACAACACTACAGTACAAACCATTACTACAGCACCAGTACAGTACTACATGTTCACTACAACACTAGTACTACATGGTCACTACAACACTACAGTACAAACCATTACTACAGCACCAGAACAGTATACATGTTCACTACAACACTAGAACTACATATTCACTACAATACTACAGTAAAAACCTTTACTACAGCACCAGTACAGTAGTATACATGTTCACTACAACACTAGTACTACATGGTCACTACTACACTACAGTAAAAACCTTTACTACAGCACCAGTACAGTGGTGTACATGTTCACTACAACACTAGTACTACATGGTCACTACAACACTACAGTACAAACCATTACTACAGCACCAGAACAGTATACATGTTCACTACAACACTAGAACTACATATTCACTACAATACTACAGTAAAAACCTTTACTACAGCACCAGTACAGTAGTACATGGTCACTACAACACTAGTACTAAATGTTCACTAGAACACTACAGTAAAAACCTTTACTACAGCACCAGTACAGTGGTATACATGTTCACTACAACACTAGTACTACATGGTCACTACAACACTAATACTAAATGTTCACTAGAACACTACAGTAAAAACCTTTACTACAGCATCAGTACAGTGGTATACATGTTCACTACAACACTAGTACTACATGGTCACGACTACACTACAGTACAAACCTTTACAACAGCACCAGTACAGTAGCACATGGTCACAACAACACTAGTACTAAATGTTCACTAAAACACTACAGTAAAAACCTTTACTACAGCACCAGTACAGTATACATGTTCACTACAACACTAGTACTGCATGCTCACTACAACACTTGTACTACATGGTCACTACAACACTAGTACTACATGTTCACTACAACACTAATACTACATGGTCTTTACAGCACAAGAACCACATCCTCACTACATCGCTAGAACTATATGCTCACTACAACACTAGTACTATATATTCACTACAACTCTAGAATTACATGTTCACTACAACACTAGAACTACATGCTCACCACAACACGAGTACTACATGTTCACTACAACACTAGTACTAAGGTGGTCACTACAACACTAGTACTACATATTCACTACAACACTAGTACTAAGGTGGTCACTACAACACTAGTACTACATGTTCACTACAACACTAGTACTACATGTTCACTACAACATTAGTACTACATGGTCACCACAAAGCGAGAGTACAAACCATTACTACAGCACCAGTACAGTACTACATGTTCACTACAACACTAGTACTACATGGTCACTACTACACTACAGTACAAACCTTTACTACAGCAATAGTACAATATACATGTTTACTACAACACTAGTACTACATGGTCACCACAACACTAGTACTACATGGTCTTTACAGCACAAGAACCACATCCTCACTACATCACTAGAACTATATGCTCACTACAACACTCGTACTATATATTCACTACAACTCTAGAATTACATGTTCACTACAACACTAGAACTACATGCTCACCACAACACGAGTACTACAGTTCACTACAACACTAGTACTAAGGTGGTCACTACAACACTAGTACTACATGTTCACTACAACACTAGTACTAAGGTGGTCACTACAACACTAGTACTACATGTTCACTACAACACTAGTACTACATGTTCACTACAACACTAGTACTACATGGTCACCACAAAGCGAGAGTACAAACCATTACTACAGCACCAGTACAGTACTACATGTTCACTACAACACTAGTACTACATGGTCACTACTACACTACAGTACAAACCTTTACTACAGCAATAGTACAATATACTACAACACTAGTACTACATGGTCACCACAACACTAGTACTACATGGTCTTTACAGCACAAGAACCACATCCTCACTACATCACTAGAACTATATGCTCACTACAACACTAGTACTATATATTCACTACAACTCTAGAATTACATGTTCACTACAACACTAGAACTACATGCTCACCACAACACGAGTACTACATGTTCACTACAACACTAGTACTAAGGTGGTCACTACAACACTAGTACTACATGTTCACTACAACACTAGTACTAAGGTGGTCACTACAACACTAGTACTACATGTTCACTACAACACTAGTACTACATGTTCACTACAACACTAGTACTACATGGTCACCACAAAGCGAGAGTACAAACCATTACTACAGCACCAGTACAGTACTACATGTTCACTACAACACTAGTACTACATGGTCACTACTACACTACAGTACAAACCTTTACTACAGCAATAGTACAATATACATGTTTACTACAACACTAGTACTACATGGTCACCACAACACTAGTACTACATGATCACTGCAACACTACAGTAAAAACCTTTACTACAGCACCAGTACAGTATACAGTACATGTTCACTACATCACTAGTACTACAGGGTCACCACAACACTAGTGCTACATGTTCTCAACAACACTACAGTACAAACCTTTACTACAGCACCAGTACAGTACTACATGGACACTACAACACTACAGTGCAAACCTTTACTACAGCACCAGTACAGTACTACATGGTCACTACAACACTACAGTATAAACCTTTACTACAGCACCAATACAGTACAACATGTTCACTATTACACCAATACTATTTCTTCCTTCTATAATGAGTTACACCATTTGACGTCAACATTCCAACCTGTTTATGTTTTAGTTGCCGGATCTCAGAGTTAAAGGTGTGTGCAAGTCAACACGCTAATAACGTAACACTTGTTCCCGAAGTGAAAATATGTGTTCTCCAAACTCAAAAATGTGTTATCCCATAATTATCTCTAATAAGGAGCTTTATGAAAAAGCCCAACAAAGTACAATTCGAGAGGAACTCGGGAGGGGAGAAAATGGGATTGTAGAACTAATTGAAGTAGACGATCGACTTGTTTGTTTGAAAAGGGCCAAGGATGGAGTTACACCTTTGTTTCACGAGCAAAACATCCTTATTGGGTTAAACGGTGCTGGCGGCGCCCCGCTGGTTCTCTATCAATGTAAGGATTACCCGGCATACGTAATGACGTTTACACGGGGTGTAGACATGGTAGAGTTTGTCCAACATTGTACACCAGACGAGTTTGTCAGATGTCTTATCGCTCTCTTTAAAAGTCTGGATGAAATTCACCGATCTGGTTATATTCATGGCGATATAAAGCCCGACAACATGTTTGTGGAGGAAAATGAAAATGGGGACATCGAGGTCCATGTGATTGATTTTGGGCTTTCCCTAAAAATTGGGACTCCTCAATTCAAGCATGCAGCCCTTAATTAGTTCTATGCACCAGAGCTCTACCACTCTGGCGGCACAGCTGAAGCGTACACAGATGTTTTCGCAGTTGGCAAGACAATAGAATGGTTTACCGTTAGACGACGGGACTTGCCCTTTGTGGTGAACAAAATTGCCTTTAGTATGTGTAACCCCGAGGCCCACAGTCGTCCTTCACTCATAGAGGTTTTGGAGAGGTTGACCCTCTATGAAATTTCTTCCACTGACGAGCAAGTGAAGGACGACTACAAAGTAAAGAACATGGGTGAGGGCGACTCAACGGGCTCTACCACCACTGTGCCAAGCCGGCGCTGGGGTGTAGTCCGTTGTTGTCTTTACACCCTAATCATACTATTTGTAATTTGTATCACCATGGGCCTCCTTGTCAAATACAAGGATGAAAGTGACTGCATGATGTTCTAAGAACGGTTAAAAGAACACTACGCCAGTTCATTTATGTTGAGACGACTCATAAATGACGGCTTAGAGCGTCTCGGTGTAGGGTTTAAGTTAACCTTGCGAGACCCCCCGACACTTATGTGCCACGCCCCACTACACGGGGCTGTGTCGTGGTTTAGGGGCTGATTAAGGGGACTTTATGTATTGTAAATAAATAATACAAAGACAACATTACTTTTAATTTCCCATTAATATTGTTACCCTGTATGCCAATAACATTTGTATATTTAAATTCTTCCACATTAAAATTGACGATAACTTAAATTACATTAATTTTTGCAGAACATTGTTTTCACAACAAGAAATATATACTTACCGTGAAATGCTAGAACGGCGCACAACACAGTACATAGCCGATTAAAATTTATCCTGCATGTGGGTTTCAATGTAAAAGCTTTTCTACTTTATAATCGAAAGACAGAACGTTTTAGCTTATTCCCGAACAACAGGGAAATTAAACAGCTGGAGTATGTTTGTGTATTTGTCAAGTAATATAAACTACGATGGTAAATGGGAAAGAGAATAAATGCAAAAATAAATAAAGTAAAAACAGCATTAAATAATAATTAAGGATATTTTAAAAAGGAACATTAATTTAATTTGAAAACACAAACACAATTACGATATATGAACAGTTTTATTGTGTGGGTAAAAACGTTAACATCTTGAGCAGAGGAGGAGGCTAGAGGCCCTTAATATATGGTACTACAGGATTGCTGAGAATATACTGATAGGAAAACAAAAGGAGAGAGACTGAAACTCTAAAACTACGATAGAGGCGACAAAAGCTTATAGAACAATATAAGAAACTTTATCCATATAACAACGATACAGCTAACAGAAACTTCTATAATAAAATAAAATAAAATACTCTGTCCATATAATAGGGGGTGAGGAGATAATGGTGGAGATATTAATGAGGGAAGGAGAGCCAAGGGAATGCAGGGATTCTGGTCAATAACGGAACTTAAAGTTTGGCTCCAGGAGAGAAACAAAGTCTGAGAGGATTAATAAACACAAGCAGAAACATAATGGAATCCTAAGACATGAGGAGCAACTTGATATATAATACGGAAGCAAAGGGAACCAGCCCAGGGAAGCTTACAGAGGTGGACAAGTGGTGTGTGAGTATCTAGTGAGCATCACACAGGGCGCCTGACTCATATAATATTCAAGTAACACCTAGACAATTGGAGCCACAAAGTTCATTTTGAAATTCATCTGACACCTCCGTAAAGATACTTTTTGGGGTGTGTGTATACAAGAGTAAAGCCTTAACACAGGCACCAGGAGACGTTACCACAAACAAGCAATAGTCACACAGTCACACAGGCTTAACATGCAGCATCGAGTATAAATATAAGGCCACTTATATTTTGTGAATAATTATTAACAAAATATAGGTGGCCTTATATTTACATAATTTACATAAACCAACTTTAACATTATTATCAACAGAACGATTAATAATGATTTTAATAATGCTTCCACCATCAATTGATTTACATGAAACTAATTTAACAACATTATATTTCAATCGATGGGATGAACGGATTCCATTATATGAACTATCAGAGCATTAAATTCCCGTCCAGTTCGAGTAACAATGTTTGATTTTATTGTCCAAGACCTTACCCGTTTGTCTAATGAAAGAAAGAAAGAAAGAAAGGAAGAAAAGTAGTGAGGGAAAGTAACGGATAAAAAAATAAATAAAAGAGTGGGAGAGAGAGAGATTACGAACAAAGCCAGGACGAGAAACATAAAATATCAAAGGACCATTTACTACAGCGGATTGAAGTATGAATTAATGTATTGCTTGACTGAACCATTAACGTATTACGGGTTTACATTAACACGTCACAATAATGTAGTTGTAAATAATAATAATAATAATAATAATAATAACAATAACAATAACAATAATAATAATAATAATAATAATAATAATAATAATAATAATAATAATAATAATAATAATCATGAGTACCACATGAGGAGTAAATATTGTATTCTTGATCAGTAAGAGGTGGCAATTGGTATTAATAAGCGATAATTAAAGGTGGGAAATAAGCAGAGGGAACTAGTGGGTAGTATAGAGATAGCTTGAGAGAGGAGAGGAGGAGGAACCTTAGTTATTGTTGTCATCATAAACCAGCATTGGTCATCTCTCTTACTTAGCACTCGTAATGGTCAGAAGCCGCAGGATATTATACCGAAATAAGTGAATTAGATTACCACGAGAGGAACAGCCACGATCCTTCCCCTGACAGCCTCTCAGCCATTACCCACATCACACAGAAGAATTAAATGAAATGTGAAGTCTTTTGTGCCTCATTATCACCTAAAACGTCCATAAAGAAAAATAAAAGGAGATAATTACATGATTTCTGTGAGTTCATTTAAGTGAATTCAGTTAATATCGAACGTATTAAGTGTTAAATACCTCTTCTGACCCTTCCTTCTCACACCCAAATACGACTAAAGAAAAACTTACGTCATTATCTTATACACTTTATGAACTGTTATCGTGGGAGAAGTTATCATACTGGAGTCTTATAACACTTGGTAATAATCTGATATATATAATAATCATGTCATGTGATATCTGCCGCGTTCATTTTATAAACAAGGGTAGTGATTATATTCAGCTTGTTTGTAGTCCTCTGTTACTGCTCACACCACTGTTTCATTCATTCCTACTCGAGCCATATTTTTACCCCATCAATTTTCATTAAAATCTAGACAAAGAATGTAATAATACCCAGTAAAAGCAGCCGGTCAAAATCTAAGTAATTATGCATCCATTAAAACAAATATTATCTCTATACATACAAACACTATGTTAAAATAATCAGTCATTGATTTTTTTTTCTTTTCTTTTTTACGGGGAATATCCCATCCGGGCACAGGTCATCGACCCACAACGGGGCCTGTGGGGGTGTAATAATAAAAATAAGAGAAATAACAATTAGAAGAGAAAGACTAAATTAACCTACACAAGTTTTTTAATGTTGCCTTTTCTCTCTCGTCAACCCGGGGAGAAGCGGTTCACTAACACCATCCCACACCTGTAGACCACCGCCACCTGCCTCTCTTCACACCACTCACGCTATACAGTAAAACCCTACATATACGGTGTTTAGTCAACGGTAGATCCTTAACCCAGTGACGTCAGTGTATATCTCACTATTGGTTAAAGTTGTAGGGTGAGGTTAGGTTAATTTGTTTATATTTAGGTTTATTAGAGGTGTTAGGTTACAGTAACCTAACACCTGTATTATATATCAAGTTGCTCCTCATGTCTTAGGATTCCATTATGTTTCTGCTTGTGTTTATTAATCCTCTCAGACTTTGTTTCTCTCCTGGAGCCAAACTTTAAGTTCCGTTATTGACCATAATCCCTGCATTCCCTTGGCTCTCCTTCCCTCACCTTTACTCATTAATATCTCCACCATTATCTCCTCATCCCCTATTATATGGACAGAGTATTTTCTTTTATTTTATTATAGAAGTTTTTGTTAGCTGTATCGTTGTTATATGGATAAAGTTTCTTATATTGTTCTATAAGCTTTTGTCGCCTCTATCGTAGTTTTAGAGTTTCAGTCTTTCTCCTTTTGTTTTCCTATCAGTATATTCTCAGCAATCCTGTAGTACCATATATTAAGGGCCTCTAGCCTCCTCCTCTCTGCTCAAGATGTTAACGTTTTTACCCACACAATAAAACTGTTCATATATCGTAATTGTGCTTGTGTTTTCAAATTAAATTAATGTTCCTTTTTAAAATATCCTTAATTATTATTTAATGCTGTTTTTACTTTATTTATTTTTGCATTTATTCTCTTTCCCATTTACCATCGTAGTTTATATTACTTGACAAATACACAAACATACTCCAGCTGTTTAATTTCCCTGTTGTTCGGGAATAAGCTAAAACGTTCTGTCTTTCGATTATAAAGTAGAAAAGCTTTTACATTTGTTACGAACCTCCACCTTTTTCGCCATCATATTGTCTGATCTACCTACAGCACCGAGCAACGCCATCTGGGGACAGAGACACGAGTATGACTCGTCTTAGTTACCACTCCGAGGTTTCCTTCTCCATATTCTGGTTGTTGCGTCACCTCCTCCGAGTCTTCTTTGTCGGCTCCAATTCGAGGAGAGGACTTGGCTCTGGGAAGTGACCACAGGATCATATATCTAAACCTACGTGCAGTGACTACCTACCGTCTTCTACAATACTCAGCCTTACTCGTCAGCCATCTCAGCTCCTCACTTAAGTACTTATATTTTGTATTAACTCCCCCACGTCCACTTGCTTCAGGATTGTTTTATGTTTATTAATATGTATATACTGTTAATGTTTAGGTTAAGTTTGGTTAAGGGTAATTTATAAGCTGAATATTTTGTTAAGGGATTTATGGTACTTTATTATACACAACGAAAACTCGCATCCTTTGTCTACCCTTTTATAGTCCGATTGTCTTTGTTTGTTTTTTTTTGTTACCTGTTGGGATCTGGGTAGACGTATAACTATATTCTAAATCCCC